TAAGGAGTTGCTCCTGCCTGACCCTTTTCTAAGTGACAGCAGTGGTGAAGATGGCAGGTACACTGAGTGTCAGGATGTTTAGGGCCTGGTAACAAAATTTACAAGAGGGCATTTCCCTTGCTTTTCCTTTACAATAAAGCTGTGGTCCCTCTGTATATTAATATGGTTCATCTGGAGTATATATAAATACTGGCAAACAGGTTGCTACTGTTTTAAACACAGGTAGAGCAATAAGTTGTGGAATCAAGAAGAACAATATTAAATATTCCCCTACTAAAGTAAAATGAAAATCTCAGTGATGCGAACTGTCTCCAACATAGGCCTGATCCCACTTATTCAGTGTACTTTGGATTAGGCCCAATATGCTAAATAATAATGGTAGAAAGGGGATTAATGAAATTATGATAATCTTTGTATTAATGCCAAAAAGAAGTTGCTCTTCAAACAGAGTCTTTCTTCTCTTTGTATCCCATCCTATTCTTTAAGACACTGAAAACTGTTTCAGGGTACATCATCACTTACCCAGCAGCAAATTCTTGCCAGTCTCCATCTGAAGTCTTTTTAAACACTTTAATTGCTACATTGGCAGCTGGACTTCCTCTAACCGCATCCAGAACCTTCACCATAAGTGGGCACTTGGAATCAATAGAACCATGGGAAACCTTGGAAAGCAGAAAAAATATGTCTAATGCAGTAAACATGTTGGGGTTTTTCACCACATCTACTAAAATTCCTCCTCCAAAGAGCAAAAGAGTTCTTACTGCAAAATAGCATCCATAGCAGGGCATATTCTAAGCCTAATTATATTTTATGCTCCATGGAGTTCATGAATAGGTGTTTCTTGTACCTGGATAACCTAAGAATAGGTGCATTCTGCCACTTCATGGAAGCTTTGCATAATAAATACACAAATGTGCTTAAGATGATATATAGTTCTGGAAAATGTTATGCTAATTAACATTCTGGGAAAATATTGGCTTCTCCAGATTTGTTATTCTGTGATTAATTATCAGTAATACTTTAATAAATTGTCCTATCTGAGGAGCACATGCTTTATAAGTAGCACAGAATTAAGCTGTATGGTGTCCTGGAGAGGCAAGTAAAAATTATCCCCATTAGACAGATATGGAAACTGAGTCAAAATTAAGTGACTTGTCTAAAGACAATACCAAAATGGGCAACAATCACCTAGATCCCATCCCCTTGCCTTAAACAGATGACTTTGGATAATCTAAAAGGGACTTCATCATTTTAAATAAAGATTGTAAAGAAATTACATGAGAAAATGACAGTAGCAAAAAGCATTGTAGCATTGTTATGGGTGAAGGAATTTGTTTTGAGTTTTAGTTTAGTAATATAATATTCATATAACAAAATATATAATGTCTGTGCATCAATTTATACTTACTTTTATTATATTTTACAGTCCTTCAAATTCTACCCCCTAAATGCAAAAACACTTACCAGTGGGGCAGCTTCAGTCAGAAATACCAGTCCAGCTAAGAAAACGAGAAGCATAGAATGAAAAGCCATTCTTCTTGCTTTTAATTAGCCTTGGTGCCAGCAGCTAGAAGCTAATGAGATTTGGGATTTTATACCCAATCCTACAACAAAACAGGCTGCTTGTCAGGTGCCCATATGACTCCAAATCTGCTGATTCTGATTATTTGCTTAGTCAACAATCCAATCCTATAGTTGTTCTATGCATAGGGTTGCCATTCAAGTCAATGGGGGGTTTGCATGTAAAACTAGGATCATTAGAGTTAAGAGAATAAGTAACCCACACAAACATGAACCTTGCCTGGGGAAATTAGGCTGTTAGAACACCCTTCATGAAATCATAAAAGCAACCTCTGCCTGTCTAGCTATGTTGCTGGTTATACAAGAATCTATTTTCATTGCTTTCATGTGTGCAAAAGAATTTCTCATATATTTGCTTTTACATTCCCTTTCCATATTGATGTTCTTGATGACCAGTTGCAAGTAAAACTGACATTTTCTTTTTTGACACAATGTAGAGAAAATATGATACAGTGTTGCACAAAAAATAGTGTGGGTGAAACCCTAGTCCAATTAAAGCAATGGCAAAGCTTTCACAAACTTCATGGTGGTTTAACTCACAGTTTATTTGATGGCAAGTTGGTGTGACCTAAATCAAAATAATGGCTTCGTTTTTGTTTCAGTTTTTGTATCTGTCACTCTTTATTTTTCATCTTAATATATGAGTGGTTTTTATTGTAATAAAAATCAGGATCAAGTCCCTTTTATATTAAGTGCTGGTCAAGCACTGAGGTACAGAAAGGGCTCTGCTCATGAAATGTGAAATGGTTGCATTCTCTGTTCACTTTTCTCCTGTGCAACAGGACTGCATAAGGCATTAGCCAGCTGGGAGTCAGGTTTAGTTTACGTGGAGTGATGGAGTCATTTGCGTCTTGCCAGGTAAAAAGTCTACTCCCGGATCAATGTGGCCAGACTTTGCTTTGATATTTTCTTCTCCCTGCACACACGGGTTCCTTGCCCATCCATGGAGTTCCTGCTCGTGGTAGGGAAGTAGAATATCTGTGAGCTGCCAGACTCATGGGCAGGCAGAATGCTGCTGGTTTCTCTATGCTAGGATGACCGCATGTCCTGTTTTAAAAACCTGTCAGTGTGATCAAAGGAATGCTTTTATCCCATTTCCAAAAAACTCCACTCCTGAAATGGTACATGGGGGAGGGGGCTTGTAAAACATTTTTCCTGTTTTGAGACTACGGAAATATGGACACCTTATTCTTACCAGGCTCTTTATAAGGATGTTGTGGATAAAACAGGAAATGTTCTCATTTTTACCAAAATACCAACCTGGATTTAGCATTGGCTCACACTGGCAACTACTGGAATATATTTCTTTTATCTCCACATGAAACATCTGCCTGCAGGATACTGTATTTGAAAGATGCCTATTCCTGTCTTCAGGAAACCTCTCTGTATGAATATCAGATTTCATCTGCATTATATATTTTCCTTTTTTCCCTTAACATTAACCTTTTGGTAGCAGAAATGGACAAAAAATTATGAAAATATACTATCTCATTTAAAATGTCAAATATTTTTCTCTGTCTTTTCTCTCACTGTGCTGCACAATCTGAACCAGTATTCATCTCCTGACTGCCAAGTGGCCCAACATGTTGGAGGGTATTGATATATTTTGTAGACAGACTAGATTGCTACTTCAAATCGCTGCAGCCTACAACATCTCTGGGGTCAGTGGATAGACGATAGATTCTGGGTTCCTCTGATCAGAAAAACCTGGGGAATTTAAATAGAACAGCCAGCCATATGCTTCTAAGGACATTACCAGGGGAGAGTTACCTATCTCTTCCAATCCGATACCACCAAAGGTAAAAATTATGGTATGGATCAAGGAAAGAAGAGTAAGTGATTTAGGGGGATTGCTAGAATTGGAGCACAAGGCAGCTTTAAAAAAAGTACATCTTGGAGTCAGAAGATCTGAGGACATTAAGATAAGAGAGGGAGATGTGGTAGATCAGAAAGAGACAAGGATGTGCCATATATAGAAAGTTGGTCAAATTTGCTAAGTCGGTATGTTCAGTACTTTGGCATTTGTATTTGTCTGTATTATGTATGGAACACAAGAGCCTTTGAATGTTCTATCTCATCAATTCCAAAATTTTGGGGAATATTTTAGGCATTAGTGGGCAGAAATCTATTGATTTGTAGGGCAACAAGAAAATTACAGGGGGAAAATGGCAGCAAAATAGAAACCCGCGTTTCCCTGTCTCCTGCTTCAAGATCCTCTATGAGAATATAAATCAAACGGTGGTTGGCACCCATTAACACCATCCTGCACAGCCATACCCCTACTCCTCCTCCCAGCAGGGTTTAACACGATGACCTTCTGGTGCCTGAAATGATTTATTTCCTACACAAAGAAATTATATGGGTAGGAAAGGAAGCCTAAGGAAAAGGAGAAATTGGGTATACAGCCTCTGGCATAGCAAGAAAATGGTGTACATGGGGAGAGAATGGAGAACACAGAACCCCTAGGAGGGGCAGATGATGATGTGTGGCTTGAGGAAAGGGGTACACATGGATCCCCCTTGCCTGGGGGTGAATGGGGACCATTTTACAGCAAAGGGGAGCACACAACGCTCATGGAGGGAGGGAGAGTCAGGATCCTGGTGCTGGGGGAAGGCCTAATGGGGAGTGGGAAGTGCACAGAGCTCCTGACATGGGAGGAGAATGTATGGCTTGGGAGAAGGAGGGATGAGGTGCACAAACATGATAGCAGGTGTGAGACTGAGGAGGCCTTTGGGAGTCCCTGAAAAAGAGGGAACTAAGAGAGTGGCATGCAGCAAGCTTGAGGGGAGGAGTGCAAGGAGCCCCTGGTGAGTGTAATAAGCTCAGTCTTGCAGAACTATGAGGTACACAACCCCCTAGTTGTGGAAACCGTTGGATAATCCTCAAATATGCAAGCTTTTCAGGGCTTAGCTAAATTCCAAATCATTTGAAGTTTGCCAGTTACTAGTTAGAATTAATACATGTCATTAATGAAAGTATGTTACCTATTTTGAAGCTTTGTAGGGTTTAAGTCAAGAACAAACATGTCCTGTTAATGTTCTTGTTTGCATCAGAGCTGTTTTCCAGCCTCACAACCTATGTTTTGCTTTTTCACTCATGCCTCCTGACATTCATCTTTCCCCATAGCTTCCTTGTTTTCTGTTTTATTCCCATTTCTCAGTCTTGAATGAAGAAGCCAATCCTTTTCATGAAAACTTTGTGGATGTGCCCCAAAAAATGTGGGAATACCATCACAAAATTGTAAACTATTCATAGTGGGGTTCATTAGCAGAAGGAAAATGGCTGTTAGAGGTTGTCATGCAGTAATAACTTTACTCAATGAGTTTCCCAAAGAATTACATTCTTCTGAACATGCAAATCATTTGTATGTCTTGAAAATCATCTTGGGTGAAAACATTCAGTTTTTGTTGTTCTGGAGTAACATCTAGTGGCCTGTCAGGAAATAATCTGGGGTTTATTTCCCAGAGAACTGTACTTGAACCTTCAGGAATAAATTTCATAGATTTCATAGACTTCATAGACATTAGGGCTGGAAGGGACCTTGGAAGATCATCACATTCAGCCCCTGGCCTGAGGAGGTCAATGTTTTATTTCATTTGATATCTAGATAAACGAGCATGGAGAGTGGATTGGGAGACGAGACCTCTGGAGTTCTAAGTACAGTACTGTCTCTGAGGTGCCAGGTTGCTATACTGGCACTGCAGACTTTTTGTGCTCTCAGACATACGGTACTGCTCATTTGTTACTTCCGAATTAGAAATAATATGGCTGTGTCTGTGTGGTGCGATGAGTGGGGTAGTTAGTACTTTTGAGTGACGTTGGAGAAGAGGAGACTGAGGGGAAATTTCTTAACAGTCTTCAAAGGGTGATTATAGAGAGGATGGAGATAGACTATTCTCTGTGGTAGTAGGAGACTGGACTAGGAGCAATGACATCAAATTGCAACAGAGGAAATTTAGGTAGGATATTAAGATCCTAGTACATGAGTATTAGAACAGGCTACCTAGAAAGATTGTGGAAACTCCATTTCCAGAAGTTTTCAAAAGCAAGTTAGACACTTGTCTGGGATGGTTTTGTCAGGCATGATCTTGCCTTGAGCAGGGTGGGCTGGGCTATATGACCTTATAAGGTCTTACTGATAATTGTGGTCCCTGCCTCACCTTTCAGGAAGTAATAATCTGACCAAATGTAGGGCATCATTTTCATTTGTTCAATGTGCATCCATGATCCTATGTGTAGAAGTTTGTATCTAATGACAGGCCATTTAGATCCAGAGTAATGAGCACAACTCTATTGAGCATTTTAATGATCTTTCAGGAATTGTATCATCTCTTTAACTAACACTTTGATTATTTGAAGGATTTCTTGTGTGTCAATATTGTAATAACAAATAGCTATTTATCTTGAGTATTATATCTAATGAAGTCAACTTGAAAAAGCCAGAGGGTTAAAAAGTATTAATGGAAGGATTTACAACAATAAAAAGATCCAAATTGTTTTTCTGTCAGCAAACATGCATTATTTCTTCATTGTGGAGTTTGGTCTACACTGTGGCATTGTGTCCAAGACCAACACCAAAAAAGGAACATTTAGGTGTGAAATTGTTGCTTTGGTGCTTTTGTAATTTATGAATCCAGTCGGTGCCCATTCATCTGAGTAAGCTCTCACTTTGAAAAGTTTAAACTCCAAGGTCACTGGGCAAATGAGCACTGATTGTTTCTGAGAGGTAATATTTCATTAGCTGCCTGTACCGTCTTTGCAGTCCCCTTAGAACAAACTGTCTGTTCTTTTACTTTAATACATATTCAAGCCAACAGACTAATCCATCAGTCTCACCAAATGATGGCAAAAAAACAAAAATCAATTTATACACAATGTTAATTGAATCCTGCAGAACCAGAGCTGACATCTTAACCTTTCCATGTTGCTGAGAACAGCTTGCGAGTTGCCATGATCAGTGTTTCTAAAGATTATTTTTTCTTAGGGAGATGAATAGAGGGTTCGAGCTATGAAGTTGTGTTTTCTTCCTATGGCTGCAGGCTCCATGTATTCTGCAGCACAAAACAAAGATTTGCATTAGGGAGCAAAAAAAATGCAGACCTCACAAGCTGTGGAAATTCAGC